GAATGAGTTTCTCCATATCTTTGTGTGGTATGTAGGGTTTAGCCTTAGAGATTAGGCGTAGTTGATAAAAGCTCGTTTTTACCACAGTAGAGACCTGTTTGTCAAGTTTGAAGGAACTATCCATGAAAACTCCAAGATTCCTGGCAGTATCAGTAAGGTAGTTAGCAACAGGCCCAGATTAACGCTGGCAGCACTACTTTAAAGTAAAAGCTTCACCTTTTGAAACATGCTGGTGTGTTGCAGTAAGGCACAACCTTTACTTGTCTAAAGATTTTGCAATCTAGTTCACAGCAACCACGAGCAACCTCCAGGAACTGCTCGTCATCCAAGCAGGAAAAACACATTTTTCCCTAACGACCAGAGACTGGTTTCTAAGCCTCAGTTACTGGGGGGTTATGAGCATTTGTTCCATGGGAAAAAAGTAGATTTGAACAGTTTTTTTACCAACAGCATAAATACTTTTATTATCAGAGTTTAACTACAGTGAAGAAAGAGAGTATAAAGAGGTTTTCTTCACTGACTGGCATCATTTTCTTTGTAATGCACAACACTGTGGTTGTTGCATTCACAAAAGTAAGTGTGGACTGTGTAGCACCCATTCGAGACTACAGTACCTACAGTTAGCTTACTTGAAGTTAAGAGTTTTCTGTCATTCCGAGTCATAAATAAAGTGACTGTGCAAATGAAAATGAGAATAAAAATCTATTAGAATAATACAAAAGTTCATGTTGCGGCTGCAGTGATGCGGACGCTGTACCGATCCATCGTGGTGAAGAGAGAGCTGAGCATAAAAGGGAAACTCCTCCTTCCTGGTCCATCTACGTCCCCACCTTCTCCTATGGTCACAAGTTTTAGGTAGTGACTGAAAGAACGAGGCCGTAAATACAAGCAGCAGAAATTTGCTTTCTCCAAAGGGTGGCTGCCCCCTCCCTTAGAGATAGTGTGAGGAGTTCGGCCATCCAAGAGGGGCTCAGAGTAGAGCTGCTACTCCCCCACACTGGAAGGAGGCAGTTGAGGTGTTTCGGGCATCTGACAAAGAGCCCCCCCTGGGTGAGGTGTTCCTGGCATGTCCGGACCCAGTACACGCTGGAGAGATTAGATCTCTCAGTTGGCCTGGAAACGCCTTGGTTTTACCCCAAATAAGCTGGAGGAGGTAGCCAGGGAGAGGGAGGTCTAGCCTTCTCTGCTTAGGCTCCTGCCCCCATGACCTGGCGCCAGATAAGCGGAACAAAATGGATGGATTCGCATTCTAAAAGCAGAGGGCATGCACAGGACAGATCCAAAATAGCCTGGTGGACAGAAGAGCACAAATCTTGTACCGGTAGATGAAAGCAAAATGATTTGCATGGGAAAGAAAGGCCCCTTCATGACTCTATGGCAAATTACAAATATTCTCCAGGATGTAGGCCAATGTGTTTCCTTGTACATAAAAAAAAGCCAAACCTCATAACCAGAGCCAACTATCTAGTGATGTCAGTACGTTTAAGAGACATTGTTAACATTATTCAGTATAATAAATTCTGGCCACTAATGTTGTCTTGAGGGCTCCAACCTTATACATTTCAAAATATTGATGTAAACCTACTCACATTAAAGCTGACTCGCCACTTTAATATAGCTTTTGTTATTTTATCTTATTTCAAATAAAAATAACAGTAATATGTAACTATCTAAACACATACAGTCTCATTATCTTGCTGCTAGTTCCTTCTGAATTCAGATAAACACGTAACAAGTGAGCCAGGTCTGTGCAAAGGTCCACCCATAATGATGATGGTGGCATTATTGCTTTACAATTAGCTTACTGGCAGCCCTTCACAGACATGGGTACTCATGCAGCTATTGCGGCTTCACTCTTCATACTAATATAGTGAAAGTGAAATTCATGAAAAATCAGGTTATTCAGCTGCTTGAACTGATGGAAAGAGCTGCTGATTACCTGAAGGTGGGAATTTGCTCTACATAGACGTTAATCTGGAGTCGCTTGGCTGTTTGGAGAACCACTCCTGTCAGCTGTAAAACACAAATTCATTTTGTTAGGGACACAGAGAATGTGGGAAAAACTCCTGTCACTCCTGATGTATGAACACGTATACCTAAACACCTAAATAATTGTTTTCTGCCCACACTGTATTATGGCCATAATCTTTATAGTAACATGTTGACATTATTTGTAAACCAACAAACCACTGGATAGAAAAACACAGAACTATGCAAAGGTTTTTAGTTAGGTACAGCAGATTTTCCATCCATTACATAATACCATCAGGGAGGCATGTGCTCTGGCCCAGATTCCTCATGCAGCTTGAGAATGACCTCAAACATACAGCTGGAGTGATAAAAAGGTAACTTCAGTGAAAAGAAAAGAAATAAACTGAGTTAATCTGAGATTATGTGAAAAAACGGAAGACGGTGAAACATGGCAGCTGTCAAATAAACCTAATTGGGAGTTTAGTCGTTTCTTTCTTCAGTTTTCTGCATTTTGAAAAACTTAAAAGAGAGAAAAAAATCTCAGGATGTATCATGTATTTATCTAAAGTTACCCCAAACTGTTTGCATAGTACTGCCTGTAGTTTTAATATCTTTACTGTAGGCAAAAATAACTTCACAGCTCTGGGCAAGCAGGGAAGACGGCTGAGGGCATCACAACTCAACAGTTATGATAAAATTCACAGGACTTTGATCAATCTTAATGATATCATGCCGTGGCAGAGTGATCAAGGAGGATAAACACAAAAAATGGTAGCTTGTTTATTGGATTCAATACTTTTGTAACCGTAAAACCACCACTTTATATGTGGGTGTGTGAAATAATTAAGTGTACTTTTGTACGAAAGCGTGAGAGCGAATGTAAGAAGGAGTTCTGCGTTAGACTGGTCAGACTGGTGTACAAAGAGCATCTTAAGAGTGGCGTAGCAGTAAAGACAAGCAGAGGTACACCAATCTGCAAAATATCGCATCTGCAAATTGTGAACAAAAATCCGAAAAATACTGCACAATGTAAAAATGCTAAGACTTCAAGTATCTCAGCATCTAATAACATGATCAAAAGACTCAGAAAATCTGGAGAAATCTCTTTGGTGTAACAAAAAAAGAAGAAAAAAAAAAGTATTTTCTCTTAAATTTTGAAAACATGGTCGCTGCATACTCCAGATTCAAGTGGAGAGGGATCATCTGGCTTGTAAATTAGTGTTCAGTTCAGAAGCCTGCATCTCTGATGGTATGGGAGTGCATCAGTGCCCATGGAAGCCATATATAACGCTATACACAGGCTTTACATTAACATATGCTCTAATCTTGTCTGGGAAGAACTGCCATATTTCTTCAAGACAATGCTAAACTCCATACTGCATCTATCACAACAGCTGTAAACCCACTGAAAACATCTGGAGCATCATGAAGAAGAAGAATGCTTTCTGTCTTTTACTGTGAATGTAATACAGTTTATTTATTTTTGGGAATTGCACTTTTTTAAAAACTTAACTATTACAGAATCATTCATCGTTTTTTTCTGTTTTCTCTGAAAGTGTATCATGTAAAATTTGTAAAAAAAAAATAAATAAATAAATAAATAAATAAATAAAATCAGAAAATTGTATCATATAGCAATTGTTAATTTTTGGCTGCTGTGGCATAAATCTTTCATTGGATGGTGGTCTAATACATTTGTTAAGCACTACACAGTATGTTCAGCTACAGTACGTTGTGCTGCTGGAGGTGTTTTTTTCAGTCTGTCTCTCGCTATCAAGACTTTACTACAAGTTCAACCAGGTAATTAGAGTATTATTATCATGATAAGAGCAGTTAGAGCTTATCTTTCGTGACAGCCCCGTACCACGTACCTCTGATTTAATTTTTAACCACTATTTTAAACAGAAGCTCAACTATTGGCTAGTCATGACAAAAAAAAGCTGAGACACTACTCCATCTAGTGTTGAAGATTTAATACTATATAAATCATAATTGTATTAGACAAAATTTGTATTATAAATTGAAGAGAGATTCACAACAACACGAGAACGAATTAAACATTTAAGCTTTAAAGTTGTGATTCCTACCGGATTGATATCAATGGCAGTCTGGTGCTCTTCCTTGTTTGGCGTCATTCCGAATACATCCTGAGCAAATTTCTCATCTGCCTGGTAGAAGTGTGGTGAAGACATTATGATAGGAGCCCCTAAACAGCAGGAAAAACATTACAGAAGGTATTAACAAAGCAGAGGCAACATCTCACTCAACATGAGGAAAATATGCCATGTGTAAAACATACCTGTAAATGTAAAACATCAATATTCTAATAATGCTATGGCTTGTAATAAACACAGCGTACACTTGTCAGGGACACTGCTAAAGTAGGCCCCAGAAATGACAGTCAGTGAATTAATTTCAGGGAGTCTTTTGCTAAGTGTTGACTCCATATTCTTTACAGTGCAATGAGGAATTGATACAAGTTATTACTCAGCACTAACAACCATAGTTTGTTTGCTTTAAATCAGATGCACCAGAGCACATCACAACAAACCACAAGAGAACTTTCACTTCACTTATTGTACCGTGTCTGAGGAGCCAGAAAGTAAATATGGGAACAAGTTCTCGTGCTTTCGACTAGTGGATGCGTTTGTAATGGAGACGGTCTCTGGCTAGCAAGCATTACTCCCTGTGTGTGTGTGTGTGTGTGTGTGTGTGTGTGTGTGTGTGTGTGTGTGTGTG